CAACCCAGCAGGGGCCAGTATTCCCCCATACACCACCCACCCCCACGCCCACCACCCACCCCCACCACCCACGCCCACGCCCACGCCCACCCCCGACGCCCACGCCCACCATGGAGTCACCTACCCAGCATGGAGTCACCAACCCAGCAGGGGGCCAGTATTCCCCCCAAACCACCACCCACCCCCACGCCCACCACCCACCCCACCACCCACGCCCACCCCCACGCCCACGCCCACGCCCACCCCCGACGCCCACGCCCACCATGGAGTCACCTACCCAGCATGGAGTCACCAACCCAGCAGGGGGCCAGTATTCCCCCAAACACCACCCACCCCCACGCCCACCACCCACGCCCCACCCCCACGCCCACGCCCACGCCCACACCCCTACAGGCAGACCACACCCTTAATAACATCACCATGACGGGTCTGTTGCAACGTTCAATTTCCCTGAAAGCTACTGCCAGAGTAATTAATTTTTGCCTCGACTGTATTTGGAAAGCCTATTAAAACTGGCTCTCCCTATTCGCGTAACCCACACCCTAATTGCTTTTATAACCCGAGTCTGCTGTTATATACCCTAACCCCTGGCTGCGGGGCAGAGATTACCCCAGCAGAGGTCTGCTCTACGCCTCAGAACTTGTTGCAATACTTACATTATCGTTAAGTTAAGATAAGCCGGGATTTTTGTAATCTATTGTCTGTAAAAAGGTTCAACAAAAGGTATATTTTTGCTCGTGTTGAACTGCCTCCGTAGGCCTACACGACCTTTATCTGAGTGGGCTGAGGGAGGGAGATGGTGCAGATTGGCAACAGTATATTTGTCAAAACTATTTTTAGGAGGTATGTGTCATATTTTAAGAGGTATGTGTTATATTTTTTGGAGGTATGTGTCATATTTTAAGAGGGATGTGTCATATTTTAAGAGGTATGTGTTATATTTTTTGGAGGTATGTGTCATATTTTAAGAGGTGTGTGTTATATTTTAAGAGGGATGTGTCATATTTTAAGAGGGATGTGTCATATTTTAAGAGGTATGTGTTATATTTTTTGGAGGTATGTGTCATATTTTAAGAGGGATGTGTCATATTTTAAGAGGTATGTGTCATATTTTAAAAGGAATGTGTCATGTTTTAAGAGGTATGTGTCATATTTTAAGAGGTATGTGTCATATTTTAAGAGGAATGTGTCATGTTTTAAGAGGTATGTGTCATATTTTAAGAGGTATGTGTCATATTTTAAGAGGAATGTGTCATGTTTTAAGAGGTATGTGTCATATTTTAAGAGATACGTGTCATATTTTAAGAGGTATATGACATATTTTAAGAGGTATGTGTCATATTTTAAGAGGTATATGTCATATTTTAAGAGGTATATGACATATTTTAAGAGGTATATGACATATTTTAAGAGGTATATGACATATTTTAAGAGGTATATGACATATTTTAAGAGGTATGTGTCATATTTTAAGAGGTATATGTCATATTTTAAGAGGTATATGACATATTTTAAGAGGTATATGACATATTTTAAGAGGTATATGACATATTTTAAGAGATATATGACATATTTTTAGAGGTATATGACACATTTTAAGAGATATATGACATATTTTTAGAGGTATATGTCATATTTAGTTTTAATTATATAGCTTAGCCTTGTTATTGTGATGGGAAGACAATTAGCATAATTGCAACAGGGGTAAATACACACATTCAACATCATTTACACGCAACATTCACACACACACTGGTGTTGGATGACAATATTTATCACCTGTGTGCAATCTTTACCCACTTCCTCCATACCCTAATTGGTTCAGCTCACTCAAGCTCTGCTAATTGGGTTATGACCTGCCCTACATATATACAGGGTGGGCAGGGTCATGTATGGCTCATACATGGTAGCCAGGGTCATGTATGGCTCATACATGGTAGCCAGGGTCATGTATGGTTCATACATGGTAGCCAGGGTCATGTATGGTTCATACATGGTAGCCAGGGTCATGTATGGTTCATACATGGTAGCCAGGTCATGTATGGTTCATACATGGTAGCCAGGGTCATGTATGGCTCATACATGGTGGCCAGGGTCATGTTTGGCTCATGCATGGTGGTCAGGGTCATGTTTGGCTCATGCATGGTGGTCAGGGTCATGTATGGCTCATACATGGTAGCCAGGGTCATGTATGACTCATACATGGTGGCCAGGGTCATGTATGGCTCATACATGGTAGCCAGGGTCATGTATGGCTCATACATGGTGGCCAGGGTCATGTATGGCTCATACATGGTGGCCAGGGCCATGTATGGCTCATACATGGTGGTCAGGGTCATGTATGGTTCATACATGGTAGCCAGGGTCATGTATGGCTCATACATGGTAGCCAGGGTCATGTATGGATCATACATGGTGGCCAGGGCCATGTATGGCTCATACATGGTGGCCAGGGCCATGTATGGCTCATACATGGTGGCCAGGGTCATGTATGGCTCATACATGGTGGCCAGGGCCATGTATGGCTCATACATGGTGGCCAGGGCCATGTATGGCTCATACATGGTGGCCAGGGTCATGTATGGCTCATACATGGTGGCCAGGGTCATGTATGGCTCATACATGGTTGGTCAAGGCCATGTATGGCTCATACATCAATACAATGAGGAGGGTGGCACTGGAGTAGAGGAGGGTGGCACTGGAGTAGAGGAGGGTGGCACTGGAGTAGAGGAGGGTGGCACTGGAGTAGAGGAGGGTGGCACTGGAGTAGAGGAGGGTGGCACTGGAGTAGAGGAGGGTGGCACTGGAGTAGAGGAGGGTGGCACTGGAGTAGAGGAGGGGTGGCACTGGAGTAGAGGAGGGTGGCACTGGAGTAGAGGAGGGTGGCACTGGAGTAGAGGAGGGGTGGCACTGGAGTAGAGGAGGGTGGCACTGGAGTAGAGGAGGGTGGCACTGGAGTAGAGGGTGGCACTGGAGTAGAGGGTGGCACTGGAGTAGAGGAGGGTGGCACTGGAGTAGAGGAGGGGTGGCACTGGAGTAGAGGAGGGTGGTACTGGAGTAGAGGGTGGCACTGGAGTAGAGGAGGGTGGCACTGGAGTAGAGGAGGGTGGCACTGGAGTAGAGGAGGGTGGCACTGGAGTAGAGGAGGGTGGCACTGGAGTAGAGGAGGGTGGCACTGGAGTAGAGGAGGGTGGCACTGGAGTAGAGGAGGGTGGCACTGGAGTAGAGGAGGGTGGCACTGGAGTAGAGGAGGGTGGCACTGGAGTAGAGGAGGGTGGCACTGGAGTAGAGGAGGGGTGGCACTGGAGTAGAGGAGGGTGGCACTGGAGTAGAGGAGGGTGGCACTGGAGTAGAGGAGGGGTGGCACTGGAGTAGAGGAGGGTGGCACTGGAGTAGAGGGTGGCACTGGAGTAGAGGGTGGCACTTGAGTAGAGGAGGGTGGCACTGGAGTAGAGGAGGGGTGGCACTGGAGTAGAGGAGGGTGGTACTGGAGTAGAGGGTGGCACTGGAGTAGAGGAGGGTGGCACTGGAGTAGAGGAGGGTGGCACTGGAGTAGAGGAGGGCGGCACTGGAGTAGAGGGTGGCACTGGAGTAGAGGGTGGCACTGGAGTAGAGGAGGGTGGCACTCTTCCCCCTGCCTTAAGGCACTTGAGGGCCACACTGGCACCTTCCCTAACTAATTCATTCATTCCAATCTGGTTTCCTCCTGGGAGGGGGGGCCATGACCCCCCACAATCATGGGGGGTCCCATGAGAGACCCTGGTCGACGACCACAGGGCAACACGACCCTGGTCGACGAGGACCATGGGGACGACGAGGACGACAAGAGAAGAGGGTCAAGTGGTAGGGGAGGGAGCCAAGACAGTGCCAAGACAGTGCCAGGACTCAGAGTGGGTCTTGACTAATTGGTGTGACGGGTCGTAAATCTCCAGCGGGCGACCTCTTACGAGGTGTGGTGGTCGTAAGAGGTGGAGAGGCCGCTGTACGGGACCCAAGCCGGGGTCCAGACAGGTTCTGCGTATACCAGTACTCAAGACTGCTACTGGTGTAGGCCGGCTGCCTCTCTACAGCCTAACAGTCGTTACATTAATGGTCTTAGACATGGCTGAAGAGGTCAACAAGAGGCCACAACCACACACCAGAGGTCAATATGTACTCTGTGGTCAATATGGGGTCAGGTGGTCCATGTGTGGCCCATGAGATTATCATGTGTGGCCAATATGTAGCTTGGCCACATATGTGGCCACGGGGGGAGGTCAAGGCCACGGGGGAAGGTCAAGGCCACGGGGGGAGGTCAAGGCCACGGGGGGAGGTCAAGGCCACTGGGGAGGTCAAGGCCACGGGGGAGGTCAGGGCCACGGGGGGAAGGTCAAGGCCACGGGGGAGGTCAAGGCCACGGGGGAGGTCAAGGCCACGGAGAGGTCAAGGCCACGGGGGGAGGTCAAGGCCACGGGGGAGGTCAAGGCCACAGAGAGGTCAAGGCCACGGGGGAGGTCAAGGCCACGGGGGAGGTCAAGGCCACGGGGGGAGGTCAAGGCCACGGGGGGAGGTCAAGGCCACGGGGGAGGTCAAGGCCACGGAGAGGTCAAGGCCACGGGGGGAGGTCAAGGCCACGGGGGAAGGTCAAGGCCACGGGGGGAGGTCAAGGCCACGGGGGAAGGTCAAGGCCACGGGGGAGGTCAAGGCCACGGGGGAAGGTCAAGGCCACGGGGGGAGGTCAAGGCCACGGGGGAAGGTCAAGGCCACGGGGGGAGGTCAAGGCCACGGGGGGTCAAGGCCACGGGGAAGGTCAAGGCCACGGGGGGAGGTCAAGGCCACGGGGGAAGGTCAAGGCCACGGGGGGAGGTCAAGGCCACGGGGGAAGGTCAAGGCCACGGGGGGAGGTCAAGGCCACGGGGGAAGGTCAAGGCCACGGGGGGAGGTCAAGGCCACGGGGGGGAGGTCAAGGCCACGGGGGAAGGTCAAGGCCACGGGGGGAGGTCAAGACCACGGGGGAAGGTCAAGGCCACGGGGGGAGGTCAAGGCCACGGGGGGAGGTCAAGGCCACGGTGGAGGTCAAGGCCACGGGGGAGGTCAAGGCCACGGGGGAGGTCAAGGCCACGGGGGGAGGTCAGGGCCACGATGGAGGTCAAGGCCACGGGGGAAGGTCAAGGGAACGGGGGAAGGTCAAGGCCACGGGGGAAGGTCAAGGCCACGGGGGGAGGTCAAGGCCACGGGGGAAGGTCAAGGCCACGGGGGGAGGTCAAGGCCACGGGGGAAGGTCAAGGCCACGGGGGGAGGTCAAGGCCACGGGGGGAGGTCAAGGCCACGGGGGAAGGTCAAGGCCACGGGGGGAGGTCAAGACCACGGGGGAAGGTCAAGGCCACGGGGGGAGGTCAAGGCCACGGGGGGAGGTCAAGGCCACGGTGGAGGTCAAGGCCACGGGGGAGGTCAAGGCCACGGGGGAGGTCAAGGCCACGGGGGGAGGTCAGGGCCACGATGGAGGTCAAGGCCACGGGGGAAGGTCAAGGGAACGGGGGAAGGTCAAGGCCACGGAGGAAGGTCAAGGCCACGGAGAGGTCAAGGCCACGGGGGGGGAGGTCAAGGCCACGGGGGAGGTCAAGGCCACGGAGAGGTCAAGGCCACGGGGGAGGTCAAGGCCACGGGGGAAGGTCAAGGCCACGGAGAGGTCAAGGCCATGGGGGGAGGTCAAGGCCACGGGGGAAGGTCAAGGCCACGGGGGAAGGTCAAGGCCACGGAGAGGTCAAGGCCACGGGGGGAGGTCAAGGCCACGGAGAGGTCAAGGCCACGGGGGAGGTCAAGGCCACGGGGGAGGTCAAGGCCACGGGGGAGGTCAGGGCACGGGGGGAAGGTCAAGGCCACGGGGGAGGTCAAGGCCACGGGGGGAGGTCAAGGCCACGGGGGAGGTCAAGGCCACGGGGGAGGTCAAGGCCACGGGGGAAGGTCAAGGCCACGGAGAGGTCAAGGCCACGGGGGGGGGGAGGTCAAGGCCACGGGTGTCAAGAGGACGGAAACCCTGATACTAAACCTCCGCTGCCTAGTGGGTAGAGAGAGGGGCGGGGGGACCTGCTGCATGGGTAACAGCTTCTCTTAGGAGCCACCACCTTAAACCTACACCGCCCATTGTAAAAACACCCATTTTCAGCAGCATATTCGAGGCAGCATATTCCCCTGCATCATATTCCTAGCATAAGGAGACAAGAGGGCGGGGGCTCCATGACTTAATTTCCTGTGATGGCGATGAGGGTGGGCGTAGTGGGCGGTTATCGCCGCCCACTACGCCCACACTGAAGACCATTATTGCATATTTTCCCTCGCGCGTGCAAGGTGGTTCCCATCATTGCATTTTATCTACTTATAGATGCAAAATGCAGATCATTGCGTGCATTTTTAGCTGACGTGAAGTTGGGTCAAGCCATTACCAGCCGTTAGCCGCCCGGGGAAGCAACGCCCTACTCGTTAGTGCAGATTTGGGTATGTTTGTGTGTGATGGTGTTGCTGCAGGTGTGGAGCAGGTGTGGAGCCAACACCTGCTGCAACTGTGGCGTGTCTGGCCGGTTGCTGGACCAGGTGGCTCTTAGCCTCCTGCGTTGAGGGCGTGGCCCACTACCTGTGAGGCGTGGCCCACCATCGGTGAGGCGTGGCCCACCACCTGTGAGGTGTGACCCACCACCGGTGAGGAGTGACCCACCACCTGTGAGGCGTGGCCCACCACCGGTGAGGGCGTGGCCCACCACCTGTGAGGCGTGGCCCACCACCTGTGAGGCGCGGCCCACCACCTGTGAGGCGTGACCCACCACCGGTGAACCGTGGCCCACCACCGGTGAGGCGTGGCCCACCACCTTTGAGGCGTGACTTCACCTGGATAGGAGACATCACATCCAGAGGTCAGAACAGTGGGAGAAGTGGTGGTTAGAGGAGTGTTTGAGGCTCCAGGGGAAGGGATGGGGGAGCTAAGGGAGAGGATGGGGAGCCAGGGGATGGGGCAGGTAAGGGAGGGATGGGGCAGGACATAACGGAATGGACATTAAAAATTTTAATTTGCTGGAAGCAGCACCTCAGCCTCGGCTAATTATGGCGTCCTTGGGTAATATCCCCCAGCAGGTGGACCCCAGCATGTGGCCCCCAGCAGGTGGCCCCCAGCAGGTGGTCCTAGCTGGTGGCCCCAGCAGGTGGCCCCCAGCAGGTGGCCCCAGCATGTGGCCCCCAGCATGTGGCCCCCAGCATGTGGCCCCCAGCAGGTGGCCCCCAGCATGTGGCCCCCAGCAGGTGGCCCCAGCATGTGGCCCCCAGCAGGTGGCCCCCAGCATGTGGCCCCCAGCAGGTGGTCCTAGCTGGCGGCCCCAGTAGGTGGTGCTAGCTGGTGGCCCCAGCAGGTGGCCCCCAGCAGGTGGCCCCCAGCATGTGGCCCCCAGCAGGTAGTCCTAGCTGGTGGCCCCAGCAGGTGGTGCTAGCTGGTGGCCCCAGCAGGTGGCCCCCAGCAGGTGGCCTCCAGCAGGTGGGCCCAGCAGGTGGCCCCTAGCAGGTGGTCCTAGCTGGTGGCCCTAGCAGGGGGACTAGCAGGTGGCCCAGCAGGTGGCCCCTAGCAGGGGGACTAGCAGGTGGCCCCCAGCAGGTGGCCCCTAGCAGGTGGCCTCCAGCAGGTGGCCCAGCAGGTGGCCCCCAGCAGGTGGCCCCCAGCAGGTGGCCTCCAGCAGGTGGCCTCCAGCAGGTGGCCTCCAGCAGGTGGCCTCCAGCAGGTGGCCTCCAGCAGGTGGCCCCTAGCAGGTGGCCCCCAGCAGGTGGCCTCCAGCAGGTGGCCCAGCAGGTGGTGTGGGGGTTACCCACAGTGTACTTGGTGTGGGGGGTACCTACAATTATCGATTTAATCAATCGAAATTGTACAAATGTGTACAAATGAATAAATTCCCTGTAACCTACCTTACCCCTCTATTGTCAACCCTTGTCTGTTATTTTTATAAACAACGCTGTTTGTCGACCTAATTGTATTTGTGCTGCTTTTTCTGCCATGTTCCCCCCTTTTTTATTTTTATCTGTTCTCAACACAATGTATACTTTAATCTAAGTTTTAGTCTTTAATGTTTTTCCTGCCCGAAACGCTTTGCATAATAGTGGCTTTAGGTATTGTATGTACTAGCTCTATGTATAAATCTATCCATTTATGTATAACCTCTTGCATGTATGTACTTTACCTGAATAAACATTTGAATTTTTTGAATTTACAAATCATTACAAATGTCAAATTCAGAATCTGTAACTATGTAACAATTTGTACAAATAGTGACATAATTGGCAGACATTAACAGGTGTACAACAGCCTTAATCAAACTCAACATTTTGGGCATTACATAAGAACAAAGGTAACTGCAGAAGGCCTATTGGCCCATACGAGGCAGCTCCTATTTATAACCACCCAATCCCACTCATATACATGTCCAACCCGCGCTTGAAACAATCGAGGGACCCCACCTCCACCACGTTACGTGGTAATTGGTTCCACAAATCAACAACCCTGTTACCGAGCCAGTATTTACCCAAGTCTTTCCTAAATCTAAACTTATCAAATTTATACCCATTGTTTCGTGTTCTGTCTTGTGTTGATACTTTTAATACCCTATTAATATAAACTAGGATGATGAGCAGACAATTTAAAGATCTAATATAAATTAACGATTCCAGGGTTATATAA